GATAGTGGGTGATAGTGGAATCCAAGATGCGCGTTTCTTCTTATTTGGGACTCGTCACAGCCGGATGTACCTGCATTCCATACCCATTGTTGATGTATGTGTGTAATCAGGATGAGGTAAGAGTGATAATTATTATAAACCGTAGTTTTAAACGGCATATGTTTGAATCTTTGTAGTAGCATCCATTTTTCTCAAATACATATATAGTTGAATTCATGAGTCAATTGAAGCTATTACATTATGGAAAACCAAGGAAGCACTGGACGGTCGTTTTGTCATAGTATGGGACTCGTAAGCTCAGTGGTCTAGAGGTTAAGCGTATCCGCGCGAGATTGCTACGTACTGGGGTCGATCGACTCATTAATTCAACTATTGAAATTACTAAAATCTCCACAAAACCCTTTCTGATATCAATGGTACTTATCAGTAAGCATAAACATAATAGCAGTTTGTTTCCTCATAAGAACTCTACTTTTATTCATTATTTATCATACAATGATTCTTTCTCAAATTTTCTTTGTTTAAATCACAAACCATTATATCCAAATGCTTGAAGTCACTAAATTCTAGTCTTAGACATGTTGGTAGATGAAGACTATTTGGTTGGGGTCCGCGTGACTATTGTAACCAATGGTTGGAGAATATGGATGACATAGCTGAGAATCGATCACAATGGCGTCGGTGTATACACTCTCTGTCTTCCTTTAAACTAAGAGATTGAAATCACTTCAAATCTTTCTTTCTACCAACTAATTCTTCCTTATATACAATTTTTCTTCTATATAGTACCATCACTGAATTAACGAATTCTATGAATTCGGTGTTCATCTTGTTATGCTAATGAGTGAGGTGTGGCAACTTGGACCGATGCATATATGTGCCTGGTCCTACGTTACAGCTGACTGACTGACTGACTATTTGATAAGAAAACAACATATTGTAATGAAGAAATTATCAATGTTTATCCGTTCTTTTGAACCATATAACATAACTGAATAAGTAGAATCACCTTTGAGAACTTTCTCATCATTTCCTTTCAATATGTTACATTTGATTTGTGTTTACCATACCCCTGAATCAGTAGATAATATATCTGTCTTTAAAATAGATTATATTCCACCTACATGACTGATGATTGGTTCTTAGATAAACAGTCAAGTTTTGTTTACTATTCGGTTGATGAATATATCAATGTACATGTGTTTTCATAGTAATCATTGTTCCGGTGAGACTATAAATCTATAGACAACCTTTGAGCGACTCCAAAGTGTCTACCTACTTATAATAGGGTTAAAAATGAATATTATAAAGCAGTTTTAAAGAATAATGACAATGATTTACAGTTGATGATAAGGATTAGGAATTAGATTTATTATTTTCATTACGAATTGACATCAGTTATAATGTTAAGACGGTATTTGGACAAATGAATGAGTGAATTTCATGTCAAAATCCAAGACCTATTATCGTAAATCTGATTGGTTTGTTTATCAATTATAGTCTTGCCGACATATTAATTATTCGAGACAAAATGGTCAACGTACAAGAACTCTTTAAAACATTCAATTATAAACTAGTTTCACAAGTGAAATGTGATAACATACCATTAAGGGTAAAATAACAATGATAGATTCATCCATATGTGTTTATCAATTGAGTTGTTTCTATGGGGTCAATTATATTGGTTACAGTGAAAAGTCCTTGTATTTACGCGCTGCTGAACACGTACTGACATGATTAAGGAAAAGTGTTGAGAAATCTTTTATTAATAATCTGATTCTTTACTACTTAATTAATTACGGATACAACATTAAAATTTAGGATACCTTTTCATTTTATGTAGTTGAAGTAATTGACAACAATTTAAGGAAACCTAACTTATGAATACAAAACAAAAATATGTAACATAGCTCACACTAGGGTCATTTCAGTCTTAGTTTCAAGTTTGTTCCTTCTCCCCCCTTCCCATTCATTATGATTACCACTCCCAAAATACTCCCTATCCTTAAGTATACAGCTATTCCTATTAATAATTATTCTTATCAGGGCTATACAGTACAACAATCTTATATTGAAAATTCATATCTTGTTTTAACTTGTGTTTACATACATGTTTAGCCTATTGATTAGAACTAATTACCTTAAGGTACATAATTTTTCTTACCCTTTTAGGTATGAACTTTTCCTAATATTATCGATGACTTTATTTACATTTTGTCAATAACTTGTAGTACTTAGTATTCAATAAACATAAAATTTGCCATTTTTATAAAATATTACAGATGAATATAATGATTTTAATAGTTGAGATCATGAATCAATTGAAGCTAGAGCATCATAGAAAACCTGAAAGCACTGGATGACCGTTTCGTCATATTGTGGAACTCCTCAGCATTCGGTATCCACAATCCTGCCCCGCGAGATTCGAATCCAGGATCTATCAGGTCTCGCGCGTAACATGACTCATGTTGTGAGATAGTAACTCATTGAAGACAATGGTGGATGTGTCGCCCAATTTTGTGGATTAGTTTTATTTATTTTAACACATAGATATTGGTACAAGGAGGCAACAAATACATATGCGTCACACAAATCTCATTTGATATGTGTGGGGGCTGTGATACTGTCCGGGTGCCCAAACCGAAGCAGGTGGTTTACTTAGGGGGCCACACCCCGAGCCTTCGACCTGAACGTCTGACCCACAAGGCAGTGGAGCATCGTAAGGAGATACAGTCTCATGGTAGCCGGTGACCAACGATTGGTTCATACTCCATTTGTTCCTTCAGGCAGGATACTGGAGCCCATGTGCACCATTGGTTTGGGATCCGGTTAAAGCGCCGGACATTCGCTTTTCGTCCTCTCATTTTCGTAAACAACACCTCTGTCGAGAGAAGGCAGTGAGTAGGACTTTCCTGGTAGAGGCTATATACGCGTAACCATGTCGAGAGGGAGAGCAGACTCCACTCTCGGCCGTACCAGGGTATTTGGGGGCATTATCAAGAATGAGAATACTTGGCTAGATATGATGAGACCAAGTAATGACTTAGTGTGTCCATTCCATTTCATGCTTATTTTCGGTTAGTTTTACTCATAATTATTTGCTATTATGTTATGATGGAATGAAAAGTCAAAATTACATTGATTTACTCAATATGATTTTTAGTTCAACATTACATTTGATGATCACTCAATATAGTATTCAGTTTCGTTTACCCCCTATGACATTTTATTCTGTATAACATATGATGATACTCTTGTATAAAGTATTTCCTATATATATATCATCTATTCTGATTATTAATCAAAAAAAGGGGTGTACAAATCAATATATGAGTGTATTTTCAACTAGACCGGGGTCGAGATTGTTTGTGCTTTTGACTGCTTGCAGAATATATTTCACAGTTATCGAATAGGTTCATTGAAGTACAATTTAACATGTCTAATGAATGTCATAGCTTAATGACATCTGTAATGAAAATTACATCCGAATATTCAGTATTCACTCATTAAAGAAGGATGAATTAATGGATGAATATACTATGTACGATACATTTATTGAACTTGAAAACATTACACGTAACTTCGAGTAGTTCAAGTAATCAACTTTTAATCATTAACTATAGATTTACTATCTAATTACTAAAGTTCATAATAGTTAGACGTGATAAAACAAATCTAATTCATTTCATAGAACACACTAAACTGATTGTTACTTCCCTGATATACTGCACTCAAAACTTCAACATAGTAATAAAGAAAATGAGACTACAAAGTAATCACTGAAATTCCATAAACTAAAAACCAACTTAATCAATACAAAAATATTGGTAAAAGGAGCGACCAAATAGATATGCGACAAACAAGTTACTTGATTTGTGTGTGTGCTATGATACTCACTTGTTGCCTAAATCGAAGAAAGTGGTTATCATAGGAGCCCAAACCCGGAGCCTTCGACCTAAAGGTCTAGAACAACGTCAACAGATGCAGTCTCATGTTAGTCGGTGACCAACAATTGGTTCATACGCTATTTGTTCCTTCAGGATCCCGTAGCCCACATACACGATTGGTTTGGAATGAAGGTTTTCCAACTCCCCTAGGTGGATCTACCGTGTCTATCAACCTTGCTAAAGCACAGAACATCCTCTTTTCGTCCTCTCAATTTCTTAAACAATAACGATACCACAAAAAGGCAATGGCTTAAACGTTACCACGGTATCTAGGGGAACATTTCATCAGACTAGATTACGACCAACAATAAATAAATGAATGAACAACAACAAAACAATATCGAAACTTTTAAAGTTTTTTTTTGTTTTAACTAACGTATACACAAAAAAAGTAATAAAAATTATTTGGATTAAAAACAACAAAAAAAAGAGGTTTGTAGAAAAAAGAAAGAAAAACTGATGTTCTTACTGTATGTCTATAAAAAGAAAAAAAAACAAAAGTGGACAAGTTTAATATGACAAAAACTATTTGAATGCAATTGGTTCTGTGGTAGGTTCTTTAAAGAAGAAAGAAAATATTCCTATGATATACATGATTGTAATAATAATATCAAGAAGCCTTTAATCGATAATAATCATGCAAAGATTGTTCAAGATTTATAATGTAGAATATAATGAATGATGATGATAAACATTCACACACACACACACGCACGTACACATACACCGACGCACGCTCGTACACACAAGGGGGTATTATTATTATTAATATACATAGACGATAAAAATTTGAATTAATTAAAAATAGTATCAATACTATATATGAATTTGTATGCACATTATTATTATTATTGTTATTATTGTTGTACAAAAATTAAGAGGGGGGGGGAAGGGATTGGATGAAGAGGGGGGATTATATTCCTTTTATCGATTATTCAGTGCTTCTAATTCATTAGGATTGATAGAATTTTCATTCATCATAGTAGATATATTTGATTTTAAATTTTTACGTTTTATCATATTTCTATGATTAAATTTCCCTGATGTTTGATTATTACTATTATTATTATTATTATTATTATCAATAGGTGATTTATGCATTAATAATAATAAACTAAATATAATAATTAATGTACCAATTAATGTAACCCAACCAAGTAAAAACCAAAAACCATTCAATATACTTATTATACCATGACATATAGCATTATTAATATCATTCATAGCAGAATATAAACGATAACATTGTCCAACTTTTGACATAATTTCTGGTCCATATTGTATAATTAATTTCTCTGCTTCAATTGGTGTTTTCAATTGTATATGTTTATCATATAATTCTATAGCTTGATTAATTAATATAGTTTTATTATTCATAATAGTTTTTAAATGAATTAATTGTTTTTGTAACTTAGCAACATATGGTGCAATTTTGTTTAATTTCGATAGAACAATTAAATTTTGATCAATATCATGTATAATATGATTTAATTGTAGAAATGTTTGTCGTATTTTATCTGTAACATTATTTAAACGATCTAATTGTTCAATAGATAAATAATGAGTTAATATAGTTGTATAATAAATATCCCATTGTTTCCACATATTTTCTATTGGCCATAATATATAATTATGATTATGATTATTATTATTATCATGATCTATTGATGATGATGATTGTATACTAATATAAGTTTTAGGTAATTTTAAACGTACTTCATTATAATTTACAATAAAATCATCTAAACGTGATGCCATAGCTAAATTATCATCAGTTTCTTTAGGGAACATTTCATTAACATTAATTGATTTTAATGAATTAATCATAATCTCTTTACCAAGATGAATAAAACGTTTAGACATTTCTGGATCATTTAATGATTTCATATTATAATCTTCAATACTATTCATTGCTTTTAATATACCTTGATTATAACGACAATTATGTAATATACCATAAATTGGACTACGTATATGTGGTATAGGCATATGTGTATATTGATTAGCTATAGATAAAATTGTTGACCAATGATGATTAATATAACTATTAATATGTGAATCAATAGGGAACATAATACGTTGAATAGTATATTGATGTATAGGATCATAATCTGTTATATTAATTATATTTTGTTCAGGATCTATATAACGACAACCTTCAGTATAAAAATAACCACCAATTAAATAAAATATACATGCTAATAATATACTAATAGCTAATATACATAATCCAATACTAGCACCTAAACGTATACGATTCCGTGTATCTATACTAATCTCTGTTGGTATAAAATGATAACGTATAATTAACCATATTAAACTAATTGTAATCAATAATATAATAAACCAAAATAATAAATTAAATGTTAATAAAAGATTCGATATTGATGTTACTTTTGGTAATATATATCTTATAATATATATAGATAGTTTATCGATTTTTTCAATAATTTGATATAAATATGGTGTAAATTGATTCCATTGTTTATTAGTTATATTACGTATTGATTGTGGTATATTAATTTGTTGATTCATTATTATTTTTGTATTTTCTAATTGTTGTTTAGATAATTGTTTACCATAATTTAATTGATTTTGTATATTTTCAGCTGTTTGATTACGATCAGTTGTTAAAAATTTTAATGCAATAGCAAAATTAATATCAGGCATAAATGAATCAGGTCTTATAGTTATATTATTATAAAATGTTGAACGTAATTCATTACATTGTTCATTACAATGAATAATATTATTATTATTAAAATTTTCTATATTCATTAAATGTAACCATGTTTGAAATTCAATTTTTAAACGATCAAATATATGTTTAAATGCATTATTTGATTGTACAATAGAAATATATTTTGTCATTAATGTAATAACATGTTCACCTAAAATATCACCAAGTTCAAATGCTTCAGTAATACCAATTTGATTAAATAATATTGTATTAAATTCATTTGTCATACGATCTTGCATTAATTCAGTTGCTTTTATAAGATTTTTTATAATAGGTTCAATATCAATTTTAGTTTGTGGAATAAATTCATTTAAATATATTTTTATTTGTGCTAATGCTCTTAATATACGTGGGAATACATGAGTTTTTTCAGGATTAGTTTGTATTAATTCATTAGTAGTTAATAATCGTCCAAATGATTCTTCATATGTTGGTGATGATACTAAATTTGTATGTAATTGACCACATGCAGCAAAACCAAGTAAAACTGCTATACCTAATAAAATTGTTAAAATAGTTAATAATGAAAATTGTATAGCAAGACATATCCAATTAGATTGTAAACGTTCACGTGTTTTATAAAATGTTGATTTTGGTGAATGTTTTTTATGTAATGCAATTTCAATCGTTTCTCTAGATGTATTTAATGTATGATTTTCTGTAGGAGCTAAATATAATAATGTTTCAGAACGTTTTTTTATACGTTTACGTTGACGACATGTTAAACATGAAGCAATAATTAATAATATAGTCCATAATAATGCACATACAATACCTAATGCATAACCAGTACGTGAATAAGTTGATAAAATATGATCAATAATTGTAACTTCTGTATGTGATGAACTTTCATTATAATGATTAGATGAAGGTAATTTTATTAAATTATTAAGTGTAAATGTTATAATTCCACCATCTAAACTTGGTTGTGCTCGACTTATAATTGCTTTAGCTGAAGAGTATATAGAATCCATAATTAAATCCAAATAATGAATAACCAGATATGATCTAAACAATAATAATAATCACACATGTTATGACCTAAATCAATTGATAACAATGAATAAATGTGTTTGTTTCTTTTCATTTGGATTGGTTATCTTATTAGTGAAATTTTATTGGTTGAAAATTTTAATTGGTTGAAATTTACTCAAATTCATTCATATTAACCAATCAACGATCAAGTATATGAATAGTCAGTTTTGGATCGATAAAACATGTCACCTGACCAAACTGACAATGCTATTGGTTAGAAATTATTCATACTAGACAATTGAAGTTTTATGTTTTTTTTTTTTGGTCTAAAATTTAGAATTCTATAGGTATCATGTCAACATATTTGGAAAAGTCATAAAACAATAATAAAGACAAATATAAACAGAATAAAAATTTTATGATTGAATTGATGAGTCTATTGAAGGGAAGACCACCATAGAAAACTTGGAAGCATTGAATGGTTGTTTCGTTCTGGTAAGACACTCCTCAACAGTGTGAACCGACGATCCTGTTTCGTGGCATTCAAACCCAGGACATATCAGTTTCACGCGCAAACGATTAATCATTAGACCACTGAGCTAGTATTCAACGGTGTTAATGTCTAACTCCAACTAATCCACAAAATTGAGCGACACATCCACTATTGTCTTCATAACAGACTTAGTTGAACTCCACTGGTCACTACTTCTCATTAGAACTCTAGGAAATATTTCTTGAAGCCAGTCACTAATGAGTATGTGGTGATTATTATCAGAATAGGGTTTTTTTTAGAGATTGTAGTAGTTTAATAGTTGTATTTATGAGTCGATTAAAGCTAGACTATTATGGATCCTGTAAGTGGGATCCTGAATATGAACTGTTGAGGAGTCTCATACTAAGATGAAATGGCCATCCAGTACTTCCAGGTTTTTCCATGGTGATCTAGCTTCAATTGACTCATGAATTCAACTATAAAATTACTAAAATCTCCACAAAACTCCCTTCTGAGAATAAAAAATTCATTGTTTTCATTTGATCATTTAATTCAGGTTTTAAATGGTTACCTATCAACACTACTACTTTGATTATTTCATTTCTAAGTTATGATTTACGTTAGCGTCTGAACAAACCTAGGAAGTGAGTGAGGTTAGTCTGGATCCCTATTTATCGAAAGAGAAACTTACTCATATAACATTTTATGTCCCGAGATGATGGATAACGAGCTAAACCTTTAACGAAAACAGGTACTGTTCGATATTTTTTGACAAGAATATAAAACTCAAACCTCATAAAAGATAAATAACCTCATTTTAAAAGAAAACACTTTATATGAATATCGATTTCGAAGGTGAAATAGAGACAGATGTCTTAAAGAGGAGAATTTCTGATTCTCTCAGAAAAACGTTCTTTGTATTAACTTTGCGAATAGTGTTTTCTAGCCAGTCAATATTCATCAACAATCTTAAGGAGAAATGATCCCATTTGACCACCTCTATATGTATTTATCAATCTGCCTGTTCATATGGAACAAGGCATATAAAGTCGTTTGATGCGTACATTATCCAAAAGAATTCAAGAACATTACAAAATAAGTAGAAGGCTGTCAATGACAGTTAGGTTGCATTATCTTAATATTGTCGAAGTAATAGTAACACAACTGGGAAAGAAATTGGTGCAACTATTATGGCCTTAATGTCTCATCATTTACTTTTAACCTACTTTACTTCCTTCACAGATGTCTGCTCCTTCTTTTTCTATTTTCTCTATAGACCATTTACCCCCAACTGGTTTATTTCTGTTTCTATGATCTTCCTGATTACATTTCATACCAAATTCAATATTTTATTATATCATGCTGAGCTATCCTTCCCCAATTATAATTTTCCTATCCATGATGATTATGATTAATATTCAAGCCCTTCACAATAAAACTATTATTAGTTTCCCTGATGAATAAGATAACGTTTTAATGACTTTTTTTTATTCTACCTCACCTATTACCATGTTTGACAGAATTTTATTATCATTATTATTGTGATTATTATCTTGAAAAAGAGAAAAAAAAGAAGTATATATTTATCACTTGATGTTGTTTGCTTTGTATTTTCTCATTGTTGTTTAGGTGTGCAATTGATCAGTCTCCTTTAGGTATGTGTGCATGCTGTGCGAATTGCTTCAATATTGCCTTAAGTCACAAGCATTATAAGCAAATAGATAGTGATTAGCAGTGGAATCCAGTTTGACTCGCGTTTCGTCCTATTCTGGACTAGTCAACTGGATGTACCTGCATCCCACAGTTGATATTCACTGCATGACTCGAACCCGATACCGCTCGCTTCAAACACTATTGTGTTGTTCACTCAGCTACTGAGTCTTCATAGCCACTAGCTTGTGAAATGTGGTCAAGTTTAAATTCATGTTGTATTGTTTATTCGAATGTTCCGATTGATGTTTAGGATTGCAATTGATCAGTCTCTTATTGACATATGTGCTCTCTGTGCGGATGGCTTCGATACTGCCTAATTCATAAGCATTCTGAGCAAAGATGGATAGTGGGTGATAGTGGAATCCAAGATGCGCGTTTCTTCTCATTTGGGACTCGTCACAGCCGGATGTACCTGCATTCCATACTCATTGTTGATGTATGTGTGTGATCAGGATGAGGTAAGAGTGATAATTATTATAAACCGTAGTTTTAAACGGCATACGTTTGAATCTTTGTAGAAGCATCCATTTTCTTCAAATACATATATAGTTGAATTCATGAGTCAGTTGAAGCTATTACATTATGGAAAACCAAGGAAGCACTGGACGATCGTTTCGTTCTATTTGGGACTCGTCAGCTGGATAAACCTATCAGGACTCGAACCCAGTACTATTCACTTCAAACCCCATTGTGTTATCTACTTAACTATTGAGTTCTGAGTTTTCTCTCACAATTTGATACAAAATGAAAATAATCTCTTTGTTACTATGCTAAATTTATGGTAATACAAATAATCTACTGTATCTAACACTGTGTACATATGAATGTACACATAGATTGCATGTATGATTCAGAACATGTTTATCAAGAAACATAATAAAATGCAACATAATTTTTTGTAAATCGGTATTCATATAACTAATCACCACCATCACCACCATCATCATCATCATCATCATGTATTAATGATAGAATTTCAAGTTAAGAGTTAATCAGTCCAATGGAATTATTTGAGTACAAAGTCAATTAAGTAGTAGATTATTTACTGTTGTGTTTTTTTTGTGTTGTTCTTCTTCTTCTTCTTCTCTTTCTATCTAAATAGTAATGATGATAACATTTTGTTATAATAATATAGTTTCAATTCTTTATGATTATATTATGTTAGTTTGTATGGTACACAGTAATATAAGGTATTGTTGTGTACACATATACATATACATGTACAACTTAGCCATTTGGACTATGACTTCGGTAGTAGTAATAATAGTGACTGTACGAATAGATTCATTCAAACATTTAATGTTTCATATTAAATCTCATAGATGTTTTTGTATTTTATGGAGTGTAAATGAACAAAGTTCACCAAAACAATCTCTCTTACTCACTCACTCACTCACTCACTCACTCCTCTCTCTCTCTCTCTCTCTCTCTCTATATATATATATATATATATATATATATATATATATATATATATATATATATATGGGTTCATATTATCGGTCTTTATTGATACTATTTAACCTTTGTACTAAAATTTATGTTTATACTAATGATGAATTGAAATAAACAACTAATGTTTTTTTTTTAAATCGCATAAAGATAATAATTACTATGTACTCATTAGTGACTAGATTCGTGAAGGAATTCTCGAAGTTCTGTTCTAATGAAAAGCCATGAACATTGGAGCTAATCCATGTCATGTAGAGACAAGTATCAATCTCAGTACAATGAATGATGGTTGAGCAATTTCGTGGATTGATTGAAGTTACTCATTAACAGCAATGGATGCTAGCCAGCTCATCGGTCTGGAGATTAAGAGTTTGCATGCGAGACCAAAGGTCCTGAATCTGAATGCCGCGAGCGGTATCGTCCACGAGCACTGCTGAGGAGTCTCATGATAAGACGAGACGGACGTCCAGTGCTTCCAGGTTTTTAATGGTGGTCTAACATAAATCGATTCATGATCTCAATCAAAAAATTATTAATCTCCACAATCCTATACTGATAATAACCATATCATTAATCAGAGATATAATAATAATAATAATAATAATAATAATAATAATAATAATTGCTATGTAAGGAGCATTTGTGATTTGATCAGTGTAGCTAATCCGTGTTGGACAGAGAAAGGTATCTACCTCAGTACAATGCAAGATGGTTGCGCAATATTGTGGATTGGTAGAGGTTAGACATTCGTACCAGTGGATGCCGGTCAGCTTAGTGGTTTGTAGTTTAAGCGTACACGCGCGAAACAGAAGGCCCTTGGTTCGAATCCTACGAGCGGGGTTGTGGATGCGCACTGCTGAGGAGTCCTATAATAGAACGAGAGGGTCGTCCAGTGATTCCAGGTTTTCAATAGTGATCTAACATCAATTGATTCATGATATCAATCAAAAACTTAATAATCTTCATAACTCCATACTGATAATAATGACTGTTATCATTACTGTTATTAAGTGTAATAAATAGCAAGTATATATCAGTATGTGTTACATCTTTGTCTGTTGTACACTCAAATAGTTAAACTATTGAGATGTTGATTTTATGAATGTAAAATGGAGGTATCCAAGAGAAACATCGATTCTTAATAGGGAATATTTAGCTGAGAAAAATATAATGGGAATTTTTCAACAATGAAAAAATATGCTGTTAATTTTCCAACTGATATTCAGGTCAATCACTTATCATTTGAAACGTTAAGACAATAGTCATGAAGTTGTTATATGGAGTGAATGAATGAATTTTCTTAATTGACATATCTAAGTGAGATTAAGTCGGAAACTTTGGATCTATTTTTTTGAACTATTCTTAACTCATCAGCAAGTTA